GTCGCGTCGTGAGAATGGCACCGTCGACACGGAGGAGCTGGTCCAGGAGAGGTCCATCGGGCCGGTGGGCGGACATCGGAGGTTTTCTGGCGGTCGACGACGGCAACGGCCCCCACCAGTAGCCGTTGGACGGTGGGGTGGAGCAGGCGGGGCGAAGCGTGGCCAGGCGGGCGGCCGTTGCAGACCGTTGGCTCGGGTGCAGGCAACGGAGGAGTTCCCAGACGTCTGCACGACGACACATGGAGGCGGCGTGGGCGCCAACGGTCAGTTTTTGAATCGGAGGCGCCAACGTTTGTCGTCTTCGATGGCGGTCGACGGCATATGAAGGTCCAGCGGCCTTGTCCGTGGGCATGCAAGGAGAAAGTTCAGCAGGACGTCACGTGCAAGGTCGCCTGTCGACGTCGAATTCATGGCAGATTTGCAGAGGAGATTATCTCTGCTGCTGCTCGTGGTGGTCGTCTTCCTCTTTGTCGTCTTCCTCCACGTGTGCTTGTCGTGCCGGCCGTGGAAGCAACGTCGAAAGCGCAGGGCGTCGACGAAACACGCTGTGCTTCAAGAGGAACGTCCCATGGCGGGCATGAAGGCACACGCTATTCTGCCTGCAGCTGAGGGCAGAAGAAGACCTGCGACGACGGAGCCTTCACGGCGGTACGACCCGTCCATGTACAGCCATCTGCCGTCGTGGGAGACGCCGCTGCCTCCCTCGGACGAGGAGCCGGAGGGGGATGAACTTCCAACGTTTCCTCTCGCCAGCGGGTCGATGCAGCTGTTGTCGCAGACGGTGCTCGTAGGCGGGTCGGCGAGCAACGAACGAGGCGAGTACACGTCACTCCTGCAGCAAGGGTTGGGACACGACGACAACGGGGGAGTTGATCTCCGGTTCGGCTTGAGTTCAGGTGGTGCCAGGGAGGCGAGCCGCACGGTCATCACCGCCGCCCATGCTTCCGCACGTGGCCTGCAGCAGCCTCGAAGGGAGCAGATAGGACCTTCCACAGTATGTGGCGGCGCGTCCGTCGTTGGCGGTGCCGGGTCTTCGCCAGCAACCCGGCAGCATGTATCAGGTGCGCTGTCCGGGGAACGATTGACTGATAACTGGGACGTGCGCACTGCTGCCGCAGCAACGTCCTTGCGCACCAGCGGTGCACGCTCGTCAATGCTGAACCGAACAACGGCTGCGCCACCCGAAGGGAGGGACGAGGGCGCCTGCAGACCACCGGCGGGTTCAGGAGCCAGTGTGGAGAACATCACTCGAGGCGTGTCAAACATGCGGGCACACAACGATGACGGCGATGACGATGGCTGTGGCGGTGACGATGCCGACGACGGATTCAGGGAGGAAGTCGAAGCGGGGGACGACGACGACAACAATGCTGTTCGGCCTGTGGTGAAGACGGGTGGTAGGGGTATTGGACGCAGCAACCGTGGTGGCCGTGGTCGATCCGTTGGCCGTGGCGACAAGGGTGGCGTCACTGATGACGGAGGGAAGTCTGCGACGTACTGGTCAACGGACGAGCAGATGCTCCTCGTCAGATGCAAGCGGGAGCAGGAGATGCACCTCGCTGGGCTGGGCCACAATTACGGCCGGATGCGGACGAAGGAGTGGAAGTGGCCCAAGTGGGTCGACATTGCGAAGCGCATGGCGAACGGTGGGAGCCCTAAAGACGCAGACGACTCTATGAAGAAATGGGACAATTTGTTCCAAAACTACAAGAAGATACAGAGGTTTCAGAACGCGAGCGGGCGGCCAGATTTCTTCAAGTTGTCCAACGACGAAAGGAAGGAGCACAACTTCAAGTTCCGGATGGAGAGGGTGCTGTACAACGAGATCCACTCCGGCATGTTGGGAAACCATACTATTTTCCCTCCCAACATCGCCGACACCGGCAGTCCGGACGGGGTGCAGCTGCCCAGGAGAGGAGCGGGTGGTGGGGAGTCTGTTGATAGCGAGGGCGGTGGTGACGGCTGCCCTGAAGAAAGATCTTCTGCAAGGGATTCCGACGTGAACGCTTGCAGTGTTGCCGGAGGCGGGAAGCGTAAGAATGCGCGCCAACAGGCGCTGGAGTCCATCGCTGATGTCATGGACCGCCATGGGAAACTGATGTCGTCGACGATTGAATCGTCCAGCAAACGGCAATGCAGCATTTCATCGAGGCAGTGCGACATACAAGAACGGCAGTGCGACATACTCGCGCAGGAAGTAGCGGTCCTAAAAGCGCACTATGCGGCGTCCGACGAGACGCAGAGGATGATGCGTCATTAACTTCTGGAGATCGCTGCCGCCATCCGTGGTCGTTCGACGATGTAGCCCATCGAATCGTTTCTTGATTACGTTGTTGCCATTGCGGTCGGTGTAGCCATGAAGATTGTTTTTTTGTTTTGTTATTTTTTTTTTTTTTTATACGTCGGTTTCTTCTGCGTAAGATGATGGAGGCAGACCGCACGATATGATGCTGCTTGCGAAATGGTTGCCACAGATGAGGGGGGCCGTCTGCGCTGGATTTGCCGCATTTTGTGGCGTCAATCGTTGTATTGATGAAAAAGTGTGTGTGTGTGTGTGTATGTGTGTGTGTGTGTGTGTGTGTGTGTGTGTGTGTGTGTGTGTGTAATTCTTTTATTTTTTTTTTTCTCATCTTTCACATGACGACACTGCTTCGTCTACAGGGGGGGCGGGGGGGAGGGGGTGAGGGCGGTAGTTTGCTAGGGGGCTCTACTTTCGAGGAAGATGGGGGGCGCAGGGGTATGGGGTGTTTGGGGGCGAAGGGGGGTTCCCTTTGTTTTGTTCGCAAAGGGTGTGGAGCTGTACACTTTCACGGTTGTTGGAGGATATGAAAAGCCAAGACAGAGAAGGCGAAATCACGTGTCACCGTCGACGACGCCTTTTTCCACTGAGCGGAAATGACATTGTGGCCGCTCCGTGTGCGGAAGGAGTTCGTCGTGGCTCTTGTATTCCTCTTGCTGCGCGCGCTGCACCGTGTTTAGAGGGTGTTTCCCGCACAGAAGCCCGCCGCGCATGCTCCGCTATTGTAGCCATCTGGAGACGTGGAGAGCGGCCGTCATTCTTCTCGGAGCGGGTCACACTCACCGCCACGCCTGTAGACCACCGCCATAAAGCTTCTCGCCGCGGAGCAATCTCGCCGCGCTACGTCGCCCTTCTCGCCGTAAAGCTTCTCGCTGCGGAGCAATCTCGCCGCGCTACGTCGCCCTTCTCGCCGTAAAGCTTCTCACCGCGGAGCAATCTCACCGCGGTACGTCGCCCTTCTCGCCGTAAAGCTTCTCGCCGTAAAGCTTCTCGCCGCGGAGCAATCTCGCCACGCTACGTCGCCCTTCTCGCCGTAAAGCTTCTCGCCGTRAAGCTTCTCGCCGTGAAGCTTCTCGCCGCCGTTCCCGCCCTTCCCACCGTAAATCTTCTCGCCGTAAAGCGTCGCCGAAGGAAGGTTCTTCTGCGTCAGCGGGGTCGTCGTCCTTCTACCCTGCACGTCTGCGTCGTCGTATTATGCCCTGCCGTTGAGGATTCTTCCTCGTCGTCGCCGCGCCGCAGCACATCGCTGGGAGATACAAACGGTGGTCGGCGAAGCGCTTCCAAGTGTTGAAAGGAGGGGCAAAAGGTTGTCACCACAGATCCGCGGCCAGCATGCCGACGAGAGGGACCGCCCGTGGCACGAAGCGCGATGCCGCAGCCGCCGTCGGGCTTGCGCAGGCGAAAGGTCGGTGCCATATCCCGAAATCGAAGAAGGTGCGCTCCGGTGAAGCGTCAGGAAACGTGCCTGCTCGTGGTTCCGAAGGTTGGGCGGCCGCAGCGGAAATGGATTCTGACGACGACTTCGGGATGGAGGAACCGCAAGCGGAGGCGACAGCATCGGCGGTGCGACAAAGCGCTCGCCAGTGAGCTTCTGATCACAGCGCGCCGAAGAGGATGCTCCCCCCTGCACCCGAGGCGCAGCAGGCGCGTGGCCGCGATGCAAGGAGAGACAAGGCTGCCGTCGTCGTGGCGGAAGGCGATGATGACGAGACGTTGGAAAGACGTCGCCAGCGCAATCTTGCACAAGATTCCGTAGCCCCGTTGATGACTACACGCCTCCCGGAAAAGGAAGTCGTGCCAGAGCGACACGCAATCGAGGGCGAGGCGGCAGGTGCTGCGGGCTGGACCGCCACAGTGAACTCGGCCCCCGTGGCGACGGCGAGAGAGGAGGCAGCAGCTGCGGCGACGGCGAGAGAGGACGCGCGTGGCGAGAAGACAACCGATCGGGAGGGCGGCGATGTTGGTCCGAGTCGGGTGCGCAAGGAAACCATGAGCAGAGAGCTCATCGATCGCGCCCTGCTCTAGGTGGATGACAAAGTGTTCTGGACGACGGGGGAGGGGCGGAGATTGTACAACATCATCCACAAGACTCAGGAATACTTCGTCGCCATCGCCAGCGGCCTTCCAACGACTGTCGTCTCTCGCAGCGTCATCCTGTCGAAGTCGAGCACCAGGGTAACCAGGATCTCCGACCCATCGCAGCTGCAGCAAGCGATCTCCCGTGCGGCGAAAGTGGCGAACGTGGCTTTGCGCGTCCTGCACGGCTGGGTTTTCAAGTCCGACAACCGCGCAAGGGGGTACAACCTGGCTTACCAGTATGCACTGGAGTCCGTAGAGACGGACATCGCGCGTGCTATGTGGTACGCCGAGGACTGGTCCAACGTCGTCAGCGCGCCCATCTGCGGCCACACGATAGATCTCAACATGGACTTGCCACTGTGGTTCGCCGGCACCCATATCGACGACAGACCCGACGACGACGACATGGCGGCGTACCAGGAGTCGACCATCATCTGCATCGCCCAAGCATTCCGCGCGGCGGTGCAGATGGGAGCGTACATTGACGACGATTTCATCTCCTACGACCGTCTTTGTCGGGTGGCTGACTGCTTCAGACTTCTGTTGGCGGCGGCAATGTGGATAATGCGCATGGCGGGAGACGACTTCCGCAGCCACTATGAGGCGTTCTACTCCGTCAACTTGCTGGCCAGGCCTACATTGGTCACGTCCATGCATCGCTCCTTCGACCATAGACGATCCGTCGTCCGCGCCGCGAAAGCCGTCACCGAGAGGCTTGGGAAGGCGAACCCCACGTTTGGCGAGCACCCCAACTACATCCCTCAATGGGCACCCTGCGGCATTACTTTCGGCCACGACGCCAGTGTAACGGGTCCGGAGGATTGCAAGAGGCTTGATTGGTTGGGTTCGGGCCCCCTTAATGACGACGGCGACGACGACAAGAAATAAGGCGCGTAGGGGGTGGGCGGCGGTTGTTATAGTCCTCGAACATGTCCACGCGGCACATCGACGTGAGGGGCTTCACCTCGGTTGGACCGTTGCGCAGAGAGAGAGAGAAAGAG